AAATTGAGAAATTATTAGTAATTCGGTTTTTAATTTCGTCGAATAAATTAGGTTGTTGAGAAGTAATTAAATCCGCGATTGATTATACCACTTCGAAATCCAATTTTGCAACAATAGTCGCTGCCCGTGTACGTTGAGCTGTAATTCTACTAACTTCAAACATAAATTCGACTTGTGTGAACCAAAGACCGGGATCCGAACGGACGAAATCAGGGAGCCTTGGCATTCGATAAGCATCGACCATGTTTGGGTTTTGTATGCCAGTATTTTGGTTTATTGTGTTAATAGGATTTTCCGTAATATTATTTTATAAAGGTGTTATGATACCGTTCGCGTGAGAGGAAGGTGTACCTCCATTTTTACTTGAACCAGCACCATCCAAAACTTGACCTTGGTTTGTCCCGCCATTCGGATTGCCCGAAGAGTCAGTAATCACCGGATCGCCCATTTCGAAATTGTTTTATTTATTCTTAGACAAAAAAAATAATAAAAAGGGAAAAAATGTAATATCAGAAAAACCTTATGTCACTCGAGCATCCCTGTTACTGGCATCAAAAGGACAAAAAAATTATTAAAATCTCAAAGTTCTCGTAAATGCATTGCAACATTTATGAATTTAAAGAATATTGTTCGATAAAAAATAAAAATCGCACAATGATAAAAAAGGCACATAAAAAGAATAAATTGTCAACAAATTGTGGAGTTGATAATGTAATACGCATTTTGAATACCACTGACGTGTTAAATTCTCAAAATTTTGAATTTTTGATAAATAATGTTTCTTATAAAATAAAAATTGACTTAAATTCTCAAATTTTCTTTAAAATCAATTTAATAATAAATTGTTTAAACCTTAATGAAATCAATCATTTTTAAATATTTATTGAATTATTGATAACTCAAATGTTTTATTTTAAATATCAAATTCGTAAAGAGTCCTTTTTTATTAAAAAAATAGTAATATCTTGTGTGTAAGCACAATGAAAAATTTTTGAAAAAAATTTTGTTTAATTTTTTTAAAAAGAAAAATTTTGAAAAGAAAATAATGTGAATATGTCAGTGGTAACGAAAAAATAAAAACTTACCAAAGTACGGATCGATGTTGAATTTTGGAGGGAAACTTTCCGTTCTGGTGTCAAAATGTCAATCATTGAATCGTCCCTCGTGACCGGAACCCTGTTCTATCGTGGCCACGATGCTTGTTGTAAAGTTTCCCGAAAGATGCAGAACCAGCATGAAAATATGGAACCAATCAGGAGACAAAAGATTTTTTCTTTTTAGGTTGAAAGTTGTTAGTTTGCTATAGGGTAGAAAAAATTCAGATACCTGTTAGCATGGGTCGGAATCGACTACCCATGCGCCACTTTCAAAGCCTTGTGAAAAAATAACTGTACGCCATGCCCATCATCGTCCGGATACCCTCAAAGAGAAGTTAAAGTTCGCTGCTTTACTGGTGGTGAAGAACAGCTGAGAGGTGTTCTTTGTCTTTGCTCCAGATTGATAGGATGTTAGGTACTTCAAAAAATGAGTCGTCACAAAATCGAAATCCCCGATGTCAATGGCGAGAAATTTGAGAAATTCTGTGTTAAAGTGTTTGCGAAGTTGTTTTCAAATAAAATTTATCCGTATTCCTAATTTTAGTGGTGGAATAAAAATGCTTTGTAGAAAGTGAGGTTAGGGAAAATGGCGTCATCGTTCGAGAAAATGTGGTTGAGATTCTCATGACGGATTTTCGAATAAATTCCTCGCCCATCCGAAAAATAATTACTTCGAAAACTCGTAGAAAATTACTCTTCTTAATTTGTCTTCACCACTTTGTTGGATGCCGATTGGAATCGTTGAAAAAAATTCGATTTGTTTTTTCCCTCGTGGTATGAGCATCACGTCGGGGTCACCAATTGTGGGGTTTTTGTATTAGATTCAAATATTAATTATCAGAAAGGTCCCACTAAATAACGTGAACAACTTGCTCATTGATTCAACAAATATTTATTACTCACTTTAACAATACTAAAAATATATAGATAAATCTAACGCGTTGATTAGTAAAAAGCTCTATACATGACGACTGTACATTTCGTTCTGCTCTCTCGTAACTTACACATACATTACATACACATACACGACTCCCCACTCACAACGTATTGGGGGAAGAGGGGAAGGCAAAGAGGACCACGATTTCCCACAGACTGAAATTTTATGCGCCATCTACAGACAAATGACGGTGTTATTTTGGATTTAAAAAAAAGAATTTATTTAATAAATCTGTTCCTTGTTCTTTTTTCACCAATAATCCTACAATAATAGTTAATCTTACCATTTATTTAGTAAGGTAACTAATTAAATAGTTATTCCAACAAACGTTTGAGTTAAACTTGCTAATAAAATGGTTATGCCAACCAATAAAAATAGTAACCATAATTAATAAATTAGCAGCACTTTATTAACTGAAAATGAGAAGCTCAAAAATGGTAACTCCGACCAATCTTTTCTCTCAGTGTAATCTACAACTGCATTTTTACTTCCATTTACCTAATAATTCAATTTTCGTGTGTTTTTAAATATATAATAGTTAATATAATAATATTCAATATAATAATTTGTCATTATTTATTGCATTATTTAATTACACAGGTCTACAAGGTATTTTTTTGAGATATCAGAGTGGTTTCCAATGTATTTTTGTGTCCTGAACACGATCCCGGGTATCAAAATTGCGTATCACGTAAGGATTTTGAGTAAAGTGGGGGTAGCCTCCAAAAACCGTGTTTTTGAAGGTTTTCAGTATTTTTTCTCCTTAACCTGACGGGATAGAAACGTTTATATAGGCTTAAATTAAAGCTTATATCTCACACTTTAGGACTCATATGCGCAAGATAAAAAAAATTTTTAATTTTTAAAAAAATTAGGTTCAAGTCATCTAAAAAGATTATTGAGGTGATTATCTCCATTTTTTCACATTTTTTTTATTCTGCACATATGGGTCGTAAAATGTACGTTTCAAACTTTAATTCAAGCTTTTAAAGATGTCTCCAGTACGTTAGGTTAAAGAGAAAAGAAATACTGAAAACCCTCAAACACACATTTTTGGAGGTCTTTACCCTAATTTTTTTTCCAAATTTTTTTTGTCTTGCGCTTACGTGATTTACAGTGCACAATTTAAGGTTTTATTTAGGCCTAAAAAAATACCCTCAAAAACACTGTTTTTGGAGAATTTACCCTCTCATTACTCAAAATCCTGACGTGATACGCAATTCTGCAACCCACGATCGAGTTCAGCACACAACAATACATTGGAAACCACTCCGGCAACTAAAAAAAGTCTTATTTTGTAGACCTGTGTTATTATTAGATATTGCATACTGATAATAATTTATATAAATAAATACTTTATTTAAATTAACTTAAATTATTTATAATAACAAAAAAAACAATTAGCGCATTAATGAGCCAATACTGGGAGCCACGAAAATCAGTAATGGTACAATATTTGCATCCAATAATGGACCAATATTGGTAAAATTTTTGAATGTCCACGTGCCTGCCAATAATTGGAAACCATTATTGGTAGCCAATAAAATACAAAAAAAATTTTATTTGTAAAAAATTTTTTAAAAATTATTTATTTAAAACAAATTATTATATATTTTTTTAAAATTATTTTTTATAATTAATTATGCTGAGAAAGGGTTATCACAGTAGAGCGTAAACTCCTTCTATCCTAAAAAAAATATTTGCCTCACATTCTTGTAAAAAAGAAGAGACAACCGACAGAAAGAATTTGTCGAATGTATATGACTAGGTGATCCTTTATATAGGATATTATTGACATCTTAACTGCGAAAAGAATTGTCTCGCGCTCAACCTGTGCGGCGTTGAGTGAACTAACCTCCAGAGCAATCAGTTCGCGCAAAGCGGAAAAAATTTGAATTTATTTAAACGAAAATAAGAAATTTCGCTTTATAAATTTAGTGATATTCTTAAAAATAGTGTTCATATATTAAAACATATAAAAATGTCTGATTAACTAATTCATTAATTAAAAAAAATTAAAAACCAAGGTAATAATAAAATTATTGACAATAAGTAAAACTATTGGGTAAAATTAAAAAAAATGGTATATTTTCAAAAAATTTATTTACAAATAAATAAATTAAATATTATTTACTGTAATTTATTTATTTAAATTTGTGTAAAATTAGGTAGTTATTACTAAAGAAGAAACTCTTTTATGAAAAAGAGACACATTTAAATTATTTAATTTCTATTTATGATATTTGTTAAAATATTTTTATAAAATATTTTTTTTAATAATAAAAAAATATATTAAATAAAATAATTTAATAAAATTTAATACATAAATTAATAAAATACAATATTTATGTAGAAATTGTGCAATTGTAAATTTGTCTTAATTTATTTTAAATATAAATTTTTATTATATATTTAAGAACGTGTGTTGATTAAACATTTAAACAAATTTTTGTAATACATAGAAACGTTATAATTTTTTTTCTTTAAAAATGTTACAACTAATAAACTTTATTTAGAAATTCATTAAATTCTTACAAAATAATAATAAGTGTATAAATTTAAAAGTAAAGTTCTTTTTTTAATTTTGTGGTTTTATATGGTCTAAAACAATCCTTATATTATGTGAGAAAAATTTTGGTGCGTAAAGTAAATTGCAGTGCGTAAAATTCGCTTTACAAACTGTTTTAAAGATCGCTTCTTTACACACACTTTTCGGTGTGTAAAATTTTACTTTAGAGATTAGTGTTGCAAAAAATAATTAAATTACTATTCTGAGTCTCAGATTGTATATTTGAGTGACTGGATTCATTTCTTGTTTCTTCATCTTCACTACAAGATGAAACTAAAATATTTTTTCGATATTTAAGAACGTGTGTTGATTAAACATTTAAATAAATTTTTTACAACATAAAAACGTTACAATTTTATTTTCTTAAAAAATGTTACAACTTATAAACTTTATTTAGAAATTTATTAAATTATTACAAAATAATAATAATAATAACAATTATAATGAAAATAGTAATAGTAATAAAAATAATTAAGATATACATGTTATAATAATTTTTAATACAAATATTATTGAACATTAATTTGTAATATTTTTATCATTAATTTTTTTTATTTCAGAGATGTTAAATAAAAGTTGAAAAATTTCTTTTTAAAAAAAATAGTAATAAACAGCATTTTTTATTAAATATTCGTTGCATTTCCAGTTTCTGATACCTTTTCTCTCAATTGACGTTCTTTTCGTCCTCCCTCTCTATCCACCGATTGTGGTAATCAAATGCCAATGGTAGAAGTTATATCACTTTCTTTAATGTCTTTTACTTTATAATTAATCGTATCTGCAAAATATTAATGAAACGATGAGTATTACATAATAGCCAGAAAATGTTTATTGTAATCACGAAGAAAAACTTCATCTTATAAATACCCTTTATACATGAATATTTACATGTTTTTGAGAAGTCTAATTTTCCCAATCCTTTTATTTTCTTTCCTTTGTTGGAATAATTTTTTTAATTAAAAGATGTTTTTTTCATTTTGGCCTAAATGGCTTTTGGTTTATTGAAGAATTGACATAAAAATGTGACGCGTTTCGACACAGAATTCTGTGTCCTCATCAGATGCATTTCTGCAAAGATAAATTTTTTGTAGAATTTTTTTTCAAACGAAGATTAAAGTTCTTTTTTTCTTTCGAAGAATACATACCGACATTGTCACGTCTGTTTAATTTTGTTTATTTTATTTAGATATGTATAATAATTTTAATCATCTGTAAAAATGTAAAACTGTAAGAACCAGCTATTACTTAAAATATTTTATCTAATTATCAAAAATTTACCTTTAATTAATTTTGAAAGTTGAATTGAAAAGATTTTTTATTTTATATATGTTAATTAAAAAAATTTTTTGGAAAATTTAAAATTAAAAATAAAACTTTTTTGAAACACATGTTTGACATGTGTTTCAATTTTGTTGGTTAGAAAGGTCAATGAAAAACAGATTTAGTATTGAGAATCAGAACGGTGTCAAGTCAAGGTTCATATAAAAAGTGCTAAAAGTATAAAGGTCGGTTCACAAACATTATGATATTAACTGTAAATAAATATAACTTAACTTTTCAACATCAGTTTTAAAGTTAATTGAACTATTTTCTTTTAAAATATAATACATTTCTATAATTTTTCGTTTTCGTAAATTTTTTTTGGAATATAAAATTTTAACATCATTTGATGAAAAGTTAAACTGATGTTTTAATTCCGTTGAATGTTTACAAAGGGCTGTTTCTTTACTTTTAATCGACTCCTGATATTTGTGTCTAGATATTCTATTCTTTAGATGCTGTGATGTCTGACCTACATAACATGAATTACAATTTTTACAATTTATTTTATAAACTGAATTAATTTTTTCAAAATTGGGAAAACAGTCTTTGGGCAATTTTAGTATATTATTTTCAAGTTTATTTATGGTTTTAAAAACGACTTTAACATTAAATTTACTGAACATTCTAATCAGAGTACTTGAAAATTTATTTATATATGGAAATGATACAATTTTTGAAAAATCTAAGTTTGTTTCAACTTTATTAACACTATCATAATATTCTATTCTTTTATTAATATATTTATTTAAAAAAACACTAGGATACCCATTTTCTAATAAAGTGTTATAAACAATGTTTATATTATTTAAATGATATTTTGGTTCTGATAATTTTATAGCTCTGTCAATTAATAAATAAACAATACCTATTTTAATATTAATGTGATGATTAGATTTAAAATTTAAATAATTGCCAGACCAAGTTCTCTTTTGATACCAATTTGTTTCAAGAAAACCATTGTTGAAATCTAGAGACACATCAAGAAAGTTAATTTTTTTGTTTTCTGCATTTTCTATTGTAAATTTTAAATATTTATCTTTAGTATTAAATTTGTTGAGAAAATCTTGTAATTTATCTTTAGGTAAACAGCAAATTGTGTCATCTACATATCTGTAATAAAATTTAATAGGATAATCAATTTCATTAAAAATCTGTGTTTCATAATGTTGCATAACTATTTCTGAAACAACTGGAGAGATAGGGCTACCTATTGGGACACCAAATTTTTGTCTGTAAATATTATTTTGAAATTTGCAGAAGGCATTATCTAAACACAATTTGAGTCCCCTGATAAATTCAGAACGAGGTAATTTAGTATGTTTTTTATAATTTGACCAATTTAATTTAATTATTTCACAAACTAATTTGCAGTCTATGTTTGTAAACATGGATATTGCATCAAGAGATATTATAGTATAATCGTCTGGAACTTGAACATGTGAGATATTATTAACAAATTGCCAACTGTCTTTTTTAATTAGACTTGGCATCAAAGATTTGATCGCTTCGCGTACATTATTCGATGCGGCTATTTCTCGTAATATATGTGTTTTCTGTAAATTAGGGAAAATAATAAATTTAAAGGTAAAGTATAATTTTAAGTAATACTAATAATAATAATAACATCATATATTTACCAAATGATCACGAGTCTCAGTATTGTTTTTTAAAATTTCTTTCAATTTTGTAAAATCTTCTATTGTATCAACCGGCAATTGTAGATTTTCATTATTTTTTCAAAATGATTTTACATCCGATTGAACAGCAGAAGTTTTTACCGTATTTGTTACTTCCAGACTTTTTTGATTTATATCATAATTTACCCGTCATTGCAGGAAATCAAATTTTTAATCAATGTATTTTTATTTTTTCAATTTTTTCGTCGATATATTTTAAAATTCATTGTTCTGATTCTTCGACAAATTGAGAAAATTTCTCAAGAACTGTAAAAAATTAAAATAGTTAAAAAAATAAATGAAATTTTAACAAATCTTATGTAACATTAATAAAAATAAACTAACTATTTTTTGAACTCCCAATATTTAATAGTCAAGACTCTTCTCCATTGAAATTCTGATGCAATATTTTTGAACGATTGCTACACTTTGATAACAATTTTCTTAAAAAAGTTACAGAACAAAATTATTACTCCCTTTATCAATATAATATACAATACATATTTAACTATTTTTAAAACTAAATATCAAAAAGGAAACACAAAAATTTGTAAATAATTTAAATTGTATAATAAAAAATGAGTCTCAAGTTTTCTAAAATAATAAAATTTTTATAATATTCTAAAAATATATATTTTTTAATCGTGAAAATTGTTTTGAGTAATATCAATTTTTTATAATTCTATAATTTTGACGACAAATTAAAAAAAAATTATTTTTGGTTCAAAAATTATTAACCAATTAAATATGATAAAAATATTAATATACAAAAAAATTTTATTTACTTTTCTGAGTCTGAGATTGTATATTTGAGTGACTGGATTCACTTCTTGTTTCTTCATCTTCACTCGATGATGAAACTAAAATATTTCTTCGATTTTTTTCTTGTAATCCTGAAATTAATAGAAATCCATATATTATAAATTTTTAGTTTTAAAATTATGACTACTTTTATAAAAAAATCAATTTTAATGAATTTAAATTTTAGAATAACTTTTTACTTTACTGTTAACATATTTTATAACTAATAATAATATAAATTTTTTGAGAATTCATTGCAATAACAATATTTAATAAATTATTCAAAAATTTAAATTCTTTAAAAGTGAAATAAACCTAAAATAATTACTTACAATTTTCAGACTCAGATATTTCATCTGGATGGTTTTCAAATTCCTCTGTACTTACAGAAGTAAAATTTTTTTAGTAGTTGTTTCTGATCCTTCTATTAATAAAAATTTAAATTTATATATTTAATTTTTTAATTTAGACTGTTTTTTAAAGAAAAATTCAAATTTCAATGAATTTAAATTTTAGAATAACTTTTTACTTTACTGTTAATATATTTTTTATCTAATAATAATATATACTTTCTGACAATTGATTGAAATAGTAATTTCTAATCAATGAATTATTAAAAAATTTATATTTATTAAAATTGAAATAAACAAAAATAATTACTTTCATTCTTTTTAGCCTCCGATTTTCCATCTGGATTTTAGGATCGACTTTCTACTACTTCATCTTCAATCGAAGAAGAAAAATGTCGTTGAAAATTATTTTGTAATCACGCTTTAAAAAAAATTAATTAATTTTTATATGCTTTACATGTTGAAAATTATTATTTATTTTAGTTTTTACTTTATTTTTCTTAAATGACTTTCTAATAATTTGTCTTTTTGAATTCTTAAATTAATATTAAACTTTAATTTATTTTTGAATGAATTAAATATTCTAATTGCATACCTTTCGTTTTACTGAGTTTTTTAGGCGGGGAAGAATAATCAACACTTAGATTTCTATCTTCAATGTCTGCAATAATTTATAAAGTAATTAATCAATGCAGATGAGAAAAATTTTATTATATTTAAAAAAATCTTTTACGTTATCTTGTTGCTCTTCCTCAAAGGTAAGATTTGAAATATTTTTGCTTCCTCGGGGAGGAAGCTTTGTAGTCCTTTCGTTTGTAAAAATTTTGAAAGCGTCGGAAACAAATTTTTCTCTATATAGAAACATTTTATATGAGATCCTGATCAATTGTCCGGGTGTATGTATGTGTGTGGATCCCTTTTTTGTTTATATAATCATATTTAATCAAATTGTATTCCCAACGTCAAGACAAATCGTTCGGTATATACTATAAAGTTTAGTTTTAATTTAACTTTAAATAATAATGAAAGTTAAAAAATAAAAAATTTACATTTTGGCTATATAATTTTGTGATTATTTAAATTTAAGTTTATAGATGAAATAATTGTATTCCTTACATGAAAACAAATTAATTGGTATATATAAAATTTACATTTGAGGTAAATTTAATAAATTAATGAAAGTTAAGAAATATAAAATACACATTTTAGTTAAAAAATTTTATATTTATTTAAATTCAAGTTTAAATATAAAATAATTGTGTTCCTTGCATTAAAATGAATCGATATAATTGTAAATAATTATATATTATTTGTTATTAATATTTAGAAATCGCGGTTAAAATATGAATTTTTGATTTTTTAATTTCGTTAATTCTTTAAATTTAACTCAAATGTATAGGTACTCAAATGTTTATATTATTATATTATTTTTGTATGTTTATTTCAATGTTAATGCTTTTTCCACGAGGAAGCAAATTTTTTTGCTGATCGTAAAGAGGAAGCAAAATGTTCATGTTATGAACATCTCAATTTACAACTTGTTTAAAGAGGTTATAGCTTGCTCTTTAGACAAAACTTTTATAGAAGAACCTTCTTCATTCTTTTCCGTATCTGTACTATTTTGAATGTATCCATCCAAGCACATTCTGTAAAACATTTGTTTTTCTTGTTCATAATTACCTTAATAAAAAAATGTATTGAATAGTTAGTCATGTAAAATATTACTATACAAAAAACAATTTATATTTATTTAATTTTATTAAAAGTTAAAACAAATTTTTTTAAAACTTACGAGCTTCTGCGGCTATTAGTACAGGAAAATCTTTCCATGATGGTCCTGGGTAACTCTCTCCACGAACGTATCCATCGATAAATTTATAATATTTTGGCTCTGGATATTTGTACAAGATATTTTTTTTAAAGTGTCACTTGTTACCCAGGATATTGGAACAATCTCGACACACTTTTTTAAATTTTTTTCTTTTAAAATAAATTCAATAACAATGAATATTTTTTGATTTCCACATGGTTGTGTGGAATGACTGTTCTGAAAATACAAATTTTTAGGTTATAAAAGTGTTGCAAAAGATGTTCATTTTTTCTCTCTACTGCTGAGTGTGGAGAAATGAAATAGTAAATAAAAATTATAAATAATATACGAATATGCATTCTCTCGTATAGTGTTGTAGAAAACGTGTGTGACGCGTAGGGAAAAAATTATTTTTCACGAACGATTGCTACTCCCGCTGCTTTCGAGCAACAAATTCCACTTTCCAAAAATCATTCGTTTTCATTACTATTCACACAATGTAATACTGAAATATTAAATTAAAATGTAATTATTTTTATATTTGCGAATTAATAATCAAGAAAGCTCTTTCTATCTATGTGAAGAAACTTAACCTG